GATGCCATCTTTCCTGTGTTGAGCCCGCCCCCTATGCTTACGGCCAAATCTGAATCTGATTGGTCTGGTGAGCTCCGCAGCTCTGCCCTGCTGACTCACTGGGACCCAGACCCACCCAGCTCCCCCAATGCCAAAGGCACTTTCTCCAAGAGCAGCCAGCCCCAGTCACATTGCACTCTTTCTTGGAAAACTATCAGAGTCTGACTGGCCCCAGGTAGGCAATGACTGGCCTCGGTGTGCTCTAAGATTTTTACTCAGGAGCTTTAGCCTCAGTACTAGCACCAAACCAGGATCTACATTAACCTGGTGACCAACTCTTTCCACTCTAGTGACTCCCTGAGACCCTGCCTCACCCAACTTGCATACTGTACAAGGCTTTATCAATGGCTGAACCTTAAGGGAGCTGGCAGGTGGCAGCAGGCCTCAGGGTGTCCTGGCATTTTGTGGAGCTACCCCAGACCTGGTACTGGTGGCAGATGTCCTCAGTTCACAGCATGTCCTCTCCTATGTGTCTCCAGAGTTAGCATAGGCAGTGAACAACTGCAGATCACTTTGTAGCTCTTACCAGGCAGTGGGTGACCTGGGCCTGGACCACAGCTCCTCCCAAGAGGCCTCAGAGCCAACATACTTGGAGGTTAGCTTCAGACCACAGCAGAGCACTGCCCAATTAGCCCCACAAGCAGCACACCCAAAGGGCTGTCTAAACAGGCACCAATGCCCACTGGGGCGAATCCCACTCACTGGGGGAAGCCCACTGCACAGCAACCTGTAAGATGTGGACATGGCCAAACCCCACAGCCAATCAGCCTGAGGGTCAATCCCAGCACTGAAGTGCTGATAGTAACCAAGGCTCAACTATAACAGGAGGGCATGCACAAACCTCACAAGGGACACTCCTGGAGCACCAGATGCAAGTAACCAGGGAGACTGTGCCACTGTGCCCCACAGGGCAGCTACTACATAAGGCCACCTGGCCAAGACTGGGGGATGTGGCAGATCTACCTAATACATAGAAACAAACAGTAAGGCAGCCAAAATGAGGAAAGAAAGAAATACATCCCAAATGAAAGAACAGTAGAAAACTCCAGAAGAACTAAACAAAATGGAGGCAAGCAACCTACCAGATACAGAGTTCAAAACAATGGTTATAAGGATGCTCAAGGAACTTAGTGAGAACTTCAACAAAGAGATAGCAAGCATTAAAAGGGACTTATAAACCATAAAAATGAACCAGTCAGAAGTGAATGAATGAAGAATGCACTAGAAGGAATCACCAGCAGACTAGATGAAGCAGAGGATCGAATCAGCGATTTGGAAGCAAGGTAGCAGAAAACACCCAATTGGAACAGCAAAAAGAAAAAAGAATTTTAAAAAATGAGGATATTTTAAGTGGCCTCTGGGACAACATCAAGTGTAACAACATTCACATCATAGGGGTACCAGACAGAGAAGAGAGAAAGCAAAGGATTAAGAACCTATTTGAAGAAATAAAGACTAAAAACTTTCCTAACCTGGTGAAGGAAATAGACATACAAGTCCAGGAAGTGCAGAGAGTCCCAAACAAGATGAACCCAAACAGGCCCACACCAAGACACATTATAATTAGAATGGTAACGGTTAAAGACAAAGAGAGAATCCTAAAAGCAGCAAAAGAAAGGCAACTCGTAACTTATAAGGGCGCTCCCATAAGATTGTCAGCTGATTTCTCAACAGAAACTTTGCAGGCCATAAGGGACTGGCACAAAAATATTCAACATGATGAAAACGTACAATGAAGATTACTCTACCCAGCAAATCATTTAAAATCAAAGGACAGATAAAGAACTTCCCAGACAAGGAAAAGCTAAAGGAGTTTATCACCACCAAACCAGCATTATAAGGAATGTTAGAGGGACTTGTTTAAGATGCAGGGGTAGGGGAGAACAAAATTATGAATAGTAAAATGGCAATAGCTACATATCCATCAGCAATTACTTTCAATGTAAATGGATTAAGTGCTCCACTCAAAAGACATAGGAGGGCTAAATAAATAAGAAAACAA